TGGATGACTACCGATTGTATAATGTTCAAATACTGTTATTCATTAAGAATATTATCTTTCTTCAATGATGGACATCATTCACAAGCTGGAGCCTGAGATTAATTGTGTAAGTTCAGTAAGTAGGCTACTTCTGGTTATATAAAAGTTAGTCGTCTAATGAAGATGCAATAAGTACAAGTATTCAAAATTTTTGTATAAATGACGTATTGTCAAAGTAATAATATCCGTTTCTCCGTGTATTGTCTTCTCTTAAACTTCAGGAGAAGAGTGAAATAACGGACTTCTGTTTTTTAACAAAAGAAATGTTTTTGTACACGGAACAGTGTCCCATTTTTTTTACTAGACAATATAAACCAGGGTGATAAGAGAATTTGAAAAACTAAATGTATTTTAGTCACACAGTAAATCGGTAATTCTAGTGTTAAGCTGTCAGTTCTTTCAATTCAAACTACGAAAACACTAAAAACGGTTTTTACAGGAAAAATTACAGCTTTTTTATTTGGTTTATATTTTCAGGTATTCTATGTTTGTTGAGCAAAGTTTTCGAGAAAACGACTTCAACAGGGAATTTCACTCTATATGTTCAAGAGTTATTGAAGATTATCAGGGTGATATGGCTGTAGCACAACAATGCAAAGTAGACAGCAGCTTTAGCAGGGTAAGTCTTAACAATGTTGTCGAATATTATTATGGTGATATGGCTGTAGCACAACAATGCAAAGTAGACAGCAGCTTTAGCAGGGTAAGTCTTAACAATGTTGTCGAATATTATTATGGTGATATGGCTGTAGCACAACAATGCAAAGTAGGCAGCACCTTTAGCAGTGTAAGTCTTAACAATATTGTCGAATATTATTATGGTGATGTCTGTGCAGAACAATGCAAAGTATACAGCATCTCTGATAGTGTTGGTCTTTACAATGTTGCTGAAGATTATAACGATGATAGCTGTAACATAGCAATGCAGATTATATAGCAGCTTTAGCAGGGTAAATCTTAACAATGTTGCTGAAGATTATAACGATGATAGTAGTAACATAACAATGCAGATTATATAGCAGCTTTAGCAGGGTAAATCTTAACAATGTTGCTGAAGATTATAACGATGATAGTAGTAACATAACAATGCAAATTATATAGCAGCTTTAGCAGGGTGAGTCTTAACAATGTTGCTGAAGATTATAAAGATGATAGCTGTAGCATAACAATGCAGATTATATAGCAGCTTTAGCAGGATAAATCTTAACAATGTTGCTGAAGATTATAACGATGATAGTAGTAGCATAACAATGCATATTATATAGCAGCTTTAGCAGGGTAAATCTTAACAATGTTGCTGAAGATTATAACGATGATAGCTTTAGCATAACAATGCAGAGTACATAGAAGCTTTAGCAGGGTAAGTCTTAACAATGTTGCTGAAGATTATAACGATGATAGCTTTAGCATAACAATGCAGAGTACATAGAAGCTTTAGCAGGGTAAGTCTTAACAATGTTGCTCAAGATTATAACGATGATAGCTTTAGCATAACA